GCGGGGCCCGGCCCGGGCGCCGGACGGACGAGAGCCATGGAGAGCGGCGCCGCCAGGTATCGGCTGAGCTGCTCGCTGCCGGGCCACGAGCTGGACGTGCGGGGCCTGGTGTGCTGCCTCTATCCGCCGGGCGCCTTTGTGTCCGTGTCTCGGGACCGGACCACCCGCCTCTGGGTCCCGGACAGGTGAGCGCTGCGAGCCCCGCTCCCCCGCCGCCTTGGGCCGTGTTGCAAGCTCCCTCCCGCGGGTGGGAAGAGTGAAGCCTCCCTGCCCTCCTGCCCTCTCCCTTTCTCCCGGCCTGCCCTGAAGTCTGCCTTCCCCCCATCCCGAGGGCGCTGGCGCTCCGGGCGCGCAGTGTGCGAAACCGGCACGGTTTGGTGGGAAGAGCACCGGATTGGGGCCGCAGAGACCTGCTTTCAGGTCCTAACGTGGCCACTAGCGAGTGGGTGACCTTGGACGAACGTCTTACTTCCTGGGGCTTCGGTTTTTGGACGATGGTTTCCCATGTGTCTTTAAGATTTGAAAATTTATTGGCGCCCTGTGCACCTTCCTAAACGAGGCGACGTGAAAACATCTGCCCTAGAATGTGCTCTGTAGTCTTCCTTCCAATGTGAGAACCGCAGTTCTCAAGAATTGCATCGCAGAAAGTTGCTTTGCCTCCTCTCTCGTTGTCCAAGTCATAGTTTCTTAGTCTGCGGGCTGTGATGCACGTAGATGCAGGGGGGTGAAACCTCTCAAATGTTTTATGAATGTGTGGGGTTTGTGTTGTTTTCCGGAGGAGAGAAAGCCTATTGCCTTCTAACAAACAAACAAAAAGGCACAGAAGGTTAAAATTTTAGCTCCAGCCCAAATCAAGTTCAAGAGTTCGGCTCAGATTTGGCAAATTGTAACAGGATGTTTAGGACCTGGAAATCAGATTTCAGTTCAGAAAGAGAAAAATCTTGGTGAGTTACTTTGTTAGCCTCCCATCAGTAGAGGTTTCACTTAGAGTTGGGGGAACCATCCATAAATTCAGATGATAACTGTTGATTGAGTGCCTTGTATTTGTTTGGGATCCTAAAGAAGAATAAGAGGAGAGACAAGCTCTCTGTGTTCATAGAGCTTGCTTACAGTGTGGATAAAAAAATAATTACATATTTGGCACAGATACTGTGAAGAAAACAAATGTCCATATAGAGATGAGAGAGATGTTAAGGAAGTAAGCCTCTCTGAGGAGGTTTTTTGGTTTTTGGTTTTTGGTGTTTTTTTTTATCTCACGCTGAGATGGAGCTTGTCATGGGAACCCGGAATAAGGAAGGTTGAATTGGAAGAGAACCGTAGGTGGTAGGAGGAACAAACACAGAGGCTCTGGATTGAGAAAGAGGAAAATCCCTTTGTGCAGGAGGGAATGAGCTGTGAGGTGGGGCAAGTCTGAAGGCTGAGGAAGGGATGTAGTAGTTGGAAGAATTAAAGGGTTCCCAGCAAGGAGCAGCATGATTTGATTTACCTGTTGACAAGTTTCTGCTAGCTGCTGATGGGGAATGGATTGCAAAGGTTTAAATGTGGAAGTAGATCTGTTTGGAGGCTTTTGCAGTAGTGTAGCCAGGACATGGTAGACTAGACTAGGGATATTGTAGAGCCAACTCCTTTATTGAATTGGATGAGATGACTTCTAAAGGTCACTTCTATGGTTTTATGATATTCCAAACCACTTCATAACAGTAATACATAACTTTCTGTGTATTTGAATATAATTACCGAATAAGTGTGTACATTTAAAATTGAGGTCATTAGAAGCATATGCCCAATAGGATATAAACATTGCAGTAAGGAATATGTAAAGGGGATTCCAGTTGTCATAGTTGAATCCTGTCATTAAACTTTTA